CCAATGGACACAGGAGTCTTTTTTTGTGTGTGTGTGTAAATGACTGGTTTGCAAAAACCAAATCCCCTGATTCCAATGGATGGAGAGTCTCCTCTAGAAGCAGTGTCTGGGACAGTGCACTCTGCTTCCACAGGTTGTGGAGTTGTCTATGCAGGAGTGAAAGATATGAGGACAAGACCAATTCCCTCACTTTGTGGGTGACCCTCCCAGAAGAGGCATTGTTAGTCTGACATGAGGAATGGAGAACAGAGAAGAGATGAAGAGGTGGAGTGGGGTAGAGACCCAGGTAAGACACGAAGACTTCAGTTGTTAAAGAAACAGATAAACCTGTCACAAAAAAATGAGGACACCACAGATAAAAAAGAAAGAAAAGCTGGATTTTGGTAATAAGAAAAAAGTGATGGAAGGGAACAAGAAAAGACAACTTTAGAAAATGAACAAATGTAACAAATTTTTGTAAAGTACATATTAAAGAGGACTTAAGGACTGGCAGCTTGAGAATTCTGAAAATTCCAAATAAGTTTATAAGCATAATATTTTACTGTGTAAAATTTGTGAAGGGCATTTGGCCCAGTGTTATCAATACAGTTCAGATGAAAAGACCACATAGTTTTAGAGATTGAAAAATCCTTAGACCATATGTTTCAGGATTAGTTCCATAGGAATTTTACTGACTACTGACAAGACAAAAAATAACTTAATTAGAAAAAGATTATTTCCCTACACAAGCGAACTTGGGTTTATGAGGTTCCTGTGGATGGACAGACATCATGTTTTAGAAGAAGGATAGGCAGATAAAACCCACTTACGACACATACAATAAATGCAAAAATAAAACTTTTCTTCTAAATGAATTTAAAACATTCCCTCCTGACAAACTTCTTAAAGCACAGGGAAGAAAAAGGGACCACTGTTCTCTTCACCCTCTTTTGCTGGCCACACAAATAAGAGTGAAGGTATTTTCTTTTTATGGCTTATTTTTTCCCTAACAGAATTTAAAAACCTTGTCTCTAGTGATTACATTTAACAGTTACATAAAAGTTCCGTCAATTTCCCTGTAGTATTTTTAACTGGGCAGGAGAGGGTTAACAGAATAGTTAAAGGATCCCTTCAACCTTCCCTCCTTCTCCTGACTATTTGATTGGTCCTGGCGAGGCAAGGGGGAGATACATTCCATATACTTTTTCTCTATAAATCAGTTATGATCAGCATGATTAACCTATCTTTTCATATCAATTCCTTTACTTCAAGGATACACAAAGACTTTAACACATACACATACACATACATACAGAAAGATAAGGGAAAGAGTAAATAAAAGGAAAACAGAACTCTTAGATTTACACACCTTGGTCATTTTTACTGTAAATCAGATTAGTAAAGGTAAAAATATCAATAAACATATTAATTGTTCAGTGATTGTAAAATACAAAGAAGTGGAGAAAGATCAATGTTATTACATTTTTTCCCCTTTTAAGTACCTTTATTTAGCCAAATCTGATTGCTTGCCTCATCCTGAACTTAGTCCACCCTACTGAATCTTTGCATGTGCACTTCCGTCTGGTCAGGCAACTTCCTCTGATCCCTACACTTCTAAAAAACTAAATGAGATGGGGCAGAAATGGGAAATCTGGGAGAAGAAAACCTATGTAGTGCGCTGGGTGCTCCTAACTTGGAGGCATTTTCTAGGAGGAAAAGCCCCATTTGAATATGGACAGACCATAAAAACTTAGAAACCTTGAAAAACTCCTAGAGACTATCATCCAAACAGGCCCAATGGGCCCAGTAATTTAACTGATTCAAATTCACCTTATATCTCCCAGGAGGGAGAAACTTTCTAGCAGATGCTTTATCCAGGCTGCAATACAATAGTTCAAGTACAATAGTACAGAGGTGATTAAACCAGTCATCCCCTCCAGGCAACTGGCGCCCCCAGTCACCATCTGAGCACAAGTCAAAATGAAACCCCAACTAGCTGATGATTTAAAGGGCGCCCTGAAGGCAGCTTTGGAGGAGGATGAGTGGTTCCAAATGCACAAGGGAAATGTAAATGCAAAACGGTCTAGTTTGGATGTGAGCCAAACTACATGTTTCACAAAATCAATGATTGATGGTTCTAAAAAAAGGCTATGATTCAAAAGTGGTGGTATTGTAAAAACCCTGCACCTAATCAAGAGGCAATTTTGGTGGCTGTCACTGAAAAAAGATATAGAGAACTATATGGCTAGCTGCCCATTTGTGTCTCTGCCAAGAGGAGACAAGGGAAAACACCCGGGCTTCTCCAGCCAGCAGCAGAACCTCAAGCCCCATGGAAAGAGATATCAATGTATTATAGAACTGCCCGAAAGCTCGGGTAATAAAGTAATTTGGGTGATAACTGATTCGTTTTCCAGGCAAGTGCATTTTACTGAATACTCTATCAAAAAATTCCTTCCATGCGCACTTTGGCTAAACTATTTGTGCAGTATGTCTAACAGTTGCATGGTACTCCAGAGAAAATTATCTCAGATCGCTGAGTCCAATTCACTTCACAGTTTTGGCAGGAGTTCCTAAAGCTTTTGGGGATCACTCAGGGGCTCAGCTCCTCACATCATCTGGCTACTTATGGGGGTTGTGAATGAACCAATGGTGACCCAGAGCAGTACTTCAGATGTTATATTAATTACCAACAGGACAATTGGACAGACCTCCTCCCTTTTGCAGATGTCACCTACAAAACTTGGTGCACAGTAGCATTGGGTTCACTCCATTTAATTGGCCACAGGTCAAGACACTCCATTTAAAATGGCCACAGGACAAGACCTGAAATATCTCAGACTATCCCATTAACTGTATCGTTGAAAGATTGGGTTGTCCAGTTACAGAACACCTGGCCAATGGTGAGAAAGTCTTTGGATGAAGCTAGGAAAGCATACGAAAAACTGGCCAATAAAAAGTGCATTAAGCCTAAGGACTTTATAGTGGGAGACAAGATCTGTCTATCTACCAGTTGTCTATCTAATCTAGATGACAGTCCAAAAAATTGGAGCCAAAATACGTTGTACCTTTCCCCATTAAAAGGATTATTAACCCAGTGACTGTAGAACTTGAGCTGCCAAAAACACTCAGACGCATATACCCAGTATTTCATTGTAGCCTATTGAAACCAGAAATCACATCTTCCTTGCACCCCAAACCGTAACCACCTCCCAACTCCATTGTAATCGAGGGATAGCAGAACTTTGAAGTCAAAGATGTCTTGGACTCTTGTATACATCAGGGAAAAACCCAGTACTTGGTATCCTGGAAAGACTTTCCCCCTTAGAAACTGAATAGGTTGACTCCCAACAAATTAAAGCCCTCAAACTGCCTAAAAAAGTCCATGACTGATACCCAGATAAACCCTATTGAACTATACTGGCCCAGAGATAGCACTGACAACAGCAAGTGTTTCTGGGAATAGATGGCAAATTGGTCTGGTCAGTACACGAGTTTTTATATATTTTGGGGGTTTGTAATTGATATGTTTGGGTCTATGTGTCCTTCATTTTTTAATTCTGTTGCATGATTTCTATTATGGTCTGCAAGATTGTGACTAGCCCTAAAGGTAAAGGGGAAACGCAAATCCTAGGTGTTTGTCTCCCTGATATAATCCTGTTAGTCCAATTTTGTCCGTTTCAGCTCTTGGTTTGTTCTGCTTCTTTTCTTATTCTGGGGAGGAGAGGCTTCCTACAATATCATTACTTATTTGTCTTTTGCTCCCCTTATAGACTCACTTTAACTATTTTTCAGACAATCACCAGGGACATGGACACGGACACACACACACAGAATGAGTGCCTTGGCAGTGACTAGATTTGATAAATAAAACTAAATAAGTACACACACACAAATATCTATATACTTATGAATAAATTTCTTTAATAAGTTACATTATAGTAATAATTAAACAGAGCTTCCACACTTGAAAACAAATCAGAAGCTACAAAATATCTATCTTACCAGAAATTAATAAAGAGTAATAAATTAATAAAGTTTCCATGGAATGATCCACCTCCGTGGGCAGGACTTAATTGAGTTATATTTTTTCGATGGAATAGGCACCAATCCCATTTTTATTAAATGCCATATAGTGCTTAATGTTGATGTATTTCTTGTCTACCTTTCAGAATTTTAACTAACACAGAATGAATCACAATTAAAATTTGTGCACATAAATTTGATAAATTAATAAATAAAATTATTGGGTCATTTAAGCATTTATCCATTAAACAGCATCCACTTAAAAACTCAACAGAAAACAATTTTTTCTTGGTAAATTATCATGGTGGCATAGCTACTGTGTCTTGACATACTATGTGTAGAAATCAGTAACAGAAATTAGAAGTAGCTTTCTGGAATGTGTTCAACACCCCATCACCACTGTTTGACAGTTTATAGATATAACAATTGTTCTTAATAATACTTCCCACATGGGAATTTTGGAATATGCAAAATGTGCAGTCTTAGGTGCATTTAATCAAGTGTTTTGAAATGAATTCGGTGACCTATCTAGAGAAGAGCTATTTTAATCTGAAGACTAAAGCTATCACTCAATTTGGATCTTATACTTTTTCTAACTAACTAGGTTTAGAACTGGGACATCATTTCCAAGACTATTCAAAGAAAAATGATAGACTAATATGGGAATTTTTTTTTTATCAGAATATAAAGGCAACCTTCCATCATCTTGGACTCTAAGGTATACTGGTGGTGAAGGCTTCTTTTTCCCAGGCTGATTAGTGAATGAAAATAGACCTGTCTTTTTCTTTGGATTTTTCTTTCACCAAGTAAATCAATACTTCCACACAAGGTGTATCCATCAGGATCCAAGAAGGCAAAGTGTGCCCTTGCCCTGCTTAGGAACCTTTGGTAGCAGCAGAAGGGGTGTTGCCTTCATCATCTGACAGGCACGACAAGTCCCCCGCGCTCTCTCCCTCCTGCCCACAAATGAAAAAGCTCCGCACACCCCGATGCAGGGGCGAAATGCCCGCAGGAGCCACCGGCCGCCTGCAAAGATGTTGCACTGGAATGAGGAAGTGGAGTGGCGAGGGGAGGGACTGAGAGCGGAGCTGCCTCCTGTCGCTCTGCTTGGCCGAGGAGCCGCTGCACATGGAAGTGGAGAGATCTGGGCGAGTTCTTTGCATCCAGCTCCGGCCAGAGCAGGTACCGTATTTTCGCGCCAGAGCGCGCCCATCTAAATTGGTCCTGTCTTATTCTGCTTTTCTGACAGATAACGGTTTTTTTTTCTTTCTTTCTTTCTTTCTTTCTTTCTTTCTTTCTTTCTTTCTTTCTTTCTTTCTTTCTTTCTTTCTTTCTTTCTTTCTTTCTTTCCTTTCCTTTCCTTTTCTTTCCTTTCTTTCTTCCTTTCTCTCTCTCTCTCTTTTTTTCTCTCTCTCTCTGTCCCCCCTCCCACTCTCTTCTATTTGCTGTTTACTCTATGGCTGCAAACTTTTTTGGGAAGGGTGTAAAAAGCAGAAGTTTTATTGAGTAGTGAGAAGCAGACGGAGAGGAGTGAAGTGCGTGCGGTTCGAACAAGTGCTAGATCTCTCTCTCTCTCTCTCTCTCTCTCTCTCTCTCACACACACACACACACACACACACACACACACACACACACACACACAGAGAGAGAGAGAGAGAGAGAGAGAGAGAGAGAGAGAGAGACAAATGTATAATGAACAAATATCGCACTGAATTCTCTGTTCGGAAGAGGGAAAACTTTTCAAGCGCCAATCTAAACCTGAGAAGATAAGTTGTTTGTTTCTTGAGCCGAGTTTACTTCTTTTTCTTTTGCCATTACAAATTGACCCGTTAGTTGTACTCTGTGAAAAAGAAATTATGAAGTTTTGCTCTTGGTCCCAAAAGCCTGAATTTCTGAAAGAGATAATCAAAGGGATTTCTGTATACTTGCATTTTAAATTCTAAGGGGAAATAATAAATTTAAAACAAATTCAAAGCTGAAGGGCTGAGTGGAGGACTATGAAAAACATTAAGCTGTAAGAAATAAAAGCTATTTTCGGAAATATTTTCTGTCATTAATTGGGACAATTTCCCCCTCTTTTTAAGCTGTCGCAACACCCAAATACAAGAAGCTGAACGTGTTTTTTTTTTCTGAACTTTACAATTTACACACTCTCCCACTCTCCCAAAAAACAAGAAGTAAAAAAATCAAGGATTCTTAGGATACCCAAATATTGGGATTAAATAAACAAGTTAAAACCCAAATTTCCACAAAATGCCCATGTAACACTTTGTTTGGAGTCAAGCCAACAGGGTCCCATGAGTTGCAAGCATGCACTTCCAGTGTTAGCTATAAATAATCTGTTAATACTTATTCCATAGGAAAATTAAATTTTAGGGCTCTTTAAACTTATGTATTAAAGACTGATATCAAATGAATTTTTCACAGTAATGCAACACAGAAAACATAACCAAATACTGATAGCATGTTTTTAAATTTATTTATTTTATCTTCCTTTTCAACTAATGGCTGCCTATTACTAATAAATTTGCTTAAACAAACAAGTTAGGTTTGGAAAGTTATATGCTGGACAGTGAGGACTGAAATGTAGCATTTTATGCTCTAATCAGCAAATTTAGTTATTGAAAGAAGGGAGATTTCAGTTTTCTGATTAGGAACATATTTGCCCCAATAGAGAATTTTTCATTTTTATAGATTCTCTACACTTTATAAGGCCATGAAGTATAAGTATGAAATTAACATTTCTAAAACTGTATTAATCACTGAACCAAAAAATAAAATTGATTCAGGTTATAACTATTAAATCTGCATTTTAAAAACAAAATTATTGTACAAAGAAAGCTTACTTTCTATGGGCAATGCAATGCAGCTCTACCGATCTCTCCTGATATGTTTATATATAAAACAATGGAAAAGTGAGTAATCCACTGTACTTGTCAGTAAAACATCAGGTAAAATACATGATTAGCTGGGTAATAAGCATTTCTTCCATATGCAAAACAAGATTAACTTTAGAAATTCAGCCACTGAGAAATTCATTAAATTGTAGTCCTGAATATGCTATAAGCCTCCTTAAAAGACAATGGGACTAGCTTCCATAAATCTCCAGTGAATCCTAAATATTTTTACTGGGAGAAGCCAAACCTAAACATTTTTACTGGGAGACATCGAAATAGAACTGTGGATAAATGTTTCTAATAATCTCCCCCTACCACCTTTCCATTTATAAAGCTGTATCTCTGGATCTATGAGCAGGAAACCTTTAATTTGTCCTATTTAATCCATTCTTAATATATACTGAGAGCTAAAATTAAACTTCAGGCAAATGAATAAAGCAATTTTGTGCACTCTTCTTTCACAGAACATCTACTGAATCCAGTGTGACTTATGAATCAAGAAAAATGCATTAAATTGAAATGCATAGTTAAGTTGCACAAACAATTGCACACACGTAAATTCAACATCGAATAGGAAATTTTTAAAAACGGGATTGTCTGCATGCCCCGATTTTTTTAATGAAAATTCTGTTCAAGAGAAGCTGAATTAACAGTCCTTAACCACCTTTATACCACCTTGAATTCAGCTGGTATAAAATATTCCTGGAGCTGATTGAGATTTATTCCAGATAAGAGTAGGTATGGAATGACAATAACCATAATAATAATTCAGCAGCACCAAAGAGTGAGTTTAAGAAAGAAATCACATCCATTTTCAGTAAGGTCTTTGAGTCTCTGCATTATACAAGTTCTCAGCTATTTATTTATGCCCTGAATTCTATTTGAGTCCCTGATTTAACTTTATTTTCTCAAATATTCTTGCCAGACAAATGTTCTATTATTATAGTAATTGGATGGAAAACATACTTACAAAATGCTTGGTTTAAAGGATTAATGTAATAGTAATGGTAATAACAATAGTTGTAGCAGGTAGTGGTATAGTAGTAGTGATGCATAACTTTGTAGCTTTTTCATTTTTTTAAGATCATACACCTACTTAGAAAAATGAAAATCATTTATTTTACATCAAAGTCAATATAAAGATTTACTCTAAGTGCACTAGGTTGAAAGTAGCTTTTAGACACAAAGCACTGAACTGTATCCCTTCAAAAAAAAACGCATGAATGTTCATGTAGAAATACTAATGTTTGTGAGAAGTGTTTATTCTGTACCCCATCCCTGCAAAGGTTTCCCTTTATATCTGCATAGATTCAAAATAAATTTCTTTTCACACAAGTAATCCACAGTAGCAATGAAGGGAAGTTTTGGGAATCTTGATAAATATCTTCTATGAGCATATTTTGAAAAGTTTTTTTACTAACTGCACCACTAACTCCAAATGCTTTACACTGAAAAGATATTATTTTGTATCACAAACTTATAATTTTGATTTTTTTAACAGAAAGCTAAATTTTAAATTAAACATAACATGAAATCTTAACTTTTTAAGATTTAATCAGCATTCTTAGAATTGTAATTTAGTTGCAATATGGGAGTCAGGCTTACATTTTTTTTTGGAAATGTACCACACAAATTAATATAGTTTGAGCAAATAAAATTGCATAAAACACAATAGCATATTTAACTATTGAAATGTATAAGTAAATTCAGGACATTTTCCTTTTACTGTGAATTTAAGTATCAGTGTCCCAAACTTTCTCAGATTGGTTGAATGCTGACACACCAAGATAGCTGATCTTTCATAGGTAGAGTTAGATCTTTTTAAGGCTGTCAAATATATTTGGTTCATTACCATCTCTTTTTAAATAAGCTAGTGCATCAAATAAATCTGTACAACATAAGGCAAGCTACTGTAAAACAGAAGTATGAAAATGTAAAATTCCATACATTAAAACAAGCTAATTCATTCATTGCTTAAAAATAAAAGTATACTTAATTTATGTTGTCAGAAAGGAAGCATGTTCAATATGAGTTTAATATCAATATTTAATTCATATTAAATTACAATACCTCTATTACAGTTTAATGTGTTAAAGTAAATATATTAAGCATCCAATACTAACAGATTATTTATAAATATATATAATGGGAAGACCTACTGAAACATATAAAGTCCATTCTCTGTAGTGCAGGTATATTTATTAGAAGACATTAGAAAGTTTTCTGATATTTAGCTATCTCTTTTCAGAGCATAAGTTCATTTTTGAAGAGCCAATGTGAAAATCTATGAGTCAAGTTCTGAATTTTGATTTCTGAATGGGAAGAGAACAAAACAAGCATTGAAACTCAAAAGGATGATCACTTAGAGAAGTTAGTTGTTTTTAATGTCAATAGAAACTTTTCAAACAAGGAAAAAGATTTCAGTGTGGCTTTTTTATTAAAAGGACTACAAAACAGTCTGGCAGAAATATATTGAATCTGAATCATATAACACCTATTATTAAACTCTGGTTTAGATTGAGCAGGGCTGTTTCACTATGTTCTTGATGTGCTGTTTCTGGATCCAAAAGTAACTTATCAACTACATTCTTCTTTGTTTTTGGTTAAAAATGAATCATTTTCATTAGGTAGGTACAACAGCATTATATTCAAGTATTCTGAAAGTTATGGTGATAGGAAAGTCAAAGACAAAATGCTCAAAGGTAGTTTGGCACTATTTCATCAATCATAAAAGATATCAACCATTTATGAATTGTTGTGGTTCAGTATAACACCTGTTGGGATATGGAGCATGGTTTCCTTAATTATTACTGGTTTCCCAATTTGAAGGATTACTTGAATTTGCTTCTTAACCTAACTTTATTAACTGGGGATAAAACTGACTTTTTTATAATGTAAAAGATGGAAAACTAAATTCTTCTCACATTACTTGCAGAAATACAAGCTGCTGACTCTACCTTTCTGGGATTTTCTTTATTAAGGATAGTTATATATATCCTTAATAAAGAATATTATTCAAATTTTTTGGCTCATATCATTATGAAATGTTTAATTAGGTTAAGGGAGAATGCCTGACTTTGGGTCATGCAAATAAGTTGAAGAACCTGGGTAAAGTCCATCTTTGGAGACGCTCTGAGATGCAGAAAAAGATGTGTAAAACAGCAGTCCTCCTTTATTTCACTGGCGAAAAGTGCCTACAGTTGAGTGTGTTCTCTCTGAAGGTAAAGATTACTGCACAAATTTGCTTCATAACTGAGGCAAGATTTGAATCTGAATTTTGTTAG